TTAGAGGCAACCAGGCCTATCACATTACGTTACAGTTTAGAGGCAACCAGGCCTATCACATTACGTTACAGTTTAGAGGCAACTAGGCCTATCGCATTACATTTTAGTTTTAGTATTACTCTTCTTTTCTTTTCTCTATTATTATTTTATTCGTGAATAAACACAATATTTACAAATACATACCATTGGCAATCTGTTGAATTGTAACTCGTTGTGATAATATAAATACTTTGATAAATCGTCTGCGTTAAAACTTTTAAACTGTTGGAAGATTACTGCTCAATTAAAAAGAACAAACCGCTCGAACATCCCGTCTAACTGTTGCAATTCGCAAGGATTGCACGTTAACAATATAAAAATGAAATTTTGTAGTTTTTACAAAATCAGTAATCAAAACGTTAAATTTTTTTATATAAAATGAAAAATAGTAATAAAATATATATATCTTGTAATATTTACAAGTTTTTAAGTATGTTTAAAAGTTCAATCATCAATATATAGGTAAAAAAGTGTGTAAAATTTAAATAATAATATTTTTATTTTAAATATTAAAATAATCAAAAAAATTATAAAAACGTGTTAAAAAGCATATAAAGAATAAATGATAAAAAATTTTTTTTATTTAAATGTATAGCTTAATTTACTTAAAGATTGATTAGTATGATAAGTTATACAAATTTTATTTATTAATGATCATCAACTCATATAATATTTTTAACAACTGATATTCTGGTTCTTTTTATATTAATCTCTTTTATTAATAATTATCATCATTCTCAAAATTGTTTTAGAATAATTCTAATTTATATCAGTATAATAAACTAACTATTTTTCTTTTAATTTTAATAAAGTTTTATCAATTTTTCATTATTAGATTGCATCAATAATTTACGTAGCCATATTTTTTAATTATTCAATTCTTAAATATTAAAAAGAAAAATTAGTTAGAATAAATATTAGATATTACTAAATTTTACCTTTTTTTATTTAGACAACTTGCAAAATCTTTAGCTTTTATTTAGCAACCTTAGATATTAATATATGAATTTTTATTTCTCCTATAAATCTTTATTTTTCTTATTGAATTCTTTATTAATTTTAATAAAAATTTGGTTTTTTTTTTAAGATATTAAATTTATCTTTCTAATTTCTCAATTCTCTTATTAAATTTAATAAGATTTTCTTTAAGCTTTTGATTCTCTACGTAAAATTAAAGAAATATATTGTTAATTATAAAATAATAAATCAAAAATAATATATCTGATTCTAAATTATCAGAATTTCAACTTCAACTATAATTGAAGTACTTGCTACTAGTTATCATCAAAATTTAGAAGTAAGCTAATTTTTTTATATTATTTTTATAATTTGAAAAGTTATTTAGTAATAGTATATTATAACTAATTTATATCTTGAAAATTTGACTCTTCTTTAAATAATTTTACATAAACATATTTTATCTTTTTCTATTATAGACAAGTAAAAAATTCAGTTTATCATTTGAAAAATTAGCTAGTTGATTAATAAAATTCAACTTAGATTTTAACTCTTATCAGCAGATTTTAATTTTTAATATTTTTTTAATATTGATAACAATTGAAATTCTATTATAGAAAAGTAAAAAAAATCAGTTTTTTATTTAAAAGTTAAACTGATTAATTAATAAAATTTAATTTACATTTTTTTTTTATCAGCTAATTTTGATATTTAAAAATATGTTTTAATTTTAATTATAATTATATTATTATAAAAAGTAAAAAAATCAGTTTCTCTTTTAAAAATTAGATAAAATTTAATTTATGTTCTTTTGATTCTTGTGATAATATTTTTATTGACATTTTGTTAGCATTTTATATAAAGAGAAAAAATGTAAAAAGAAAAAATTTAATTGTAAAGATAAAATTTTGATTTTAAAAAAAATAAAGTTTGAGTTTAAATTATTTTTTTAAGAAATAAAAAAATCAAACTTATTTTTCTATATATCTATATATAAATTTTGCAGTAAAAGAAAGAAAATTACCAAAAAAAATTTTTTTTGAGTTAATTTAAATCTGGATTTATTTTACTAAAAAATAATATTTAGTTTATAAAAATTTTTTTGATAGTTTACTTCCTTTCTACTGCAAAACACCTATATATGTATCTAATTTTATCAATTTTGAATAGAAAAATATAATCTTATTACAAAATGATGTTAATACTCTGCAAATAATATTAAAGTAGATGATTAAATTTATTAAATTTAAAAATATTAAAGAATTATAATCAGTTAATGTTAAAAATTTATTAAAGATTAAATATTATATCATTTTATTATAAAAATAGATATATGTATTCATATTTCTTAATTTTAAGATATGAAAATATCACACAGTTGGCTACTGTATATAAAAAGTCAGAAAAATAATAAAAAAGCATATAAATTTTGTAATTAAATAATTGATATCTATATAAATATTATTTTCTATGATTAGCATATATTACATATCAGATCACAAAAAAACGATAGATATTTAGTATATAGATTAACAAGAAAAAACAATTTTTTTATATTAATATTAATAATTATCATATTAAGAAAATAGAAATAACTGATTTTCTTACTTTTTGTTCACAATATGTAAAATTTGAAATGTATTAATATATTATAAAAAATGGTACATATCTAAATAATCTATTAATAAGGCAAAGATCATGATAACAATTATATGATAGTTAAAGTGATTTATGAAGAAAAGATCAGAAGAAGAAAAAAAATCTAAAAGATATTAAAATAAATTAAGATATATTCTTTTTTAAGATTAAAGGGGTTTGATTATGTAGAGTTAAAATTAGATTAGTTTTTTCTTATGAGGTATATGGTGGTTATAACAGAAATTATAAAGAAATATATTTGCTCATGTATGAAATATGTTTCACCCTATCTTAACTGGGATTAAAGCTACTACTGAAATACGTATCTAAATGGTAATGGAATACATTCTGCTGAAATTTTTTCATAAATTGCAAAAAGTTAACCATTATGAGTTAACCTTGTTTTTTATTACTATTAAAAAATAAAGTTTTGCCTGATTGTTATATTTTATTATGGTTTGGAATTTGTGTTGGTATAAAATAAAACTTAATTTTTGTAGGAAGGTGTAAAGACTGGCAGGTACATTGATGATTTTTAAGGTAAAATGGATTTGAAAAGAAAGGCAAACATAAAGGTGCTGAGGTTTCTGCAAGGATTAGAAACATAGAGGTAAAAATATTTGTTGGTCTTCAATCTTTATTCACATTTAAGATTAAGTTTAATTCTAAGTCATTTTCTTTTATTTCTCATATAATAGGCAGATAAACATTTAATTATGGTAAGGTTTACTTTCAAACTCGTAAATTTAATGTTATCACTAAATGCAAATAAACATTCGTTTCATTAAAGATCTAAAAATGTATTGAATGAGATCATAAAAGAACCAATAAAGCATCTGAAACTTTGTCTGACTTTGCAAATGTTGAATACAATGTCAGGAAGAAAAGAAAACAGAATCACCAGTCAGGCAGATATACTTCGCCAACGTCACCGAGCCCAACATTAAGAAATTCGCTGGCAGAACTCTCAAGGCTCACTGATAATCCGTTCCTTGAAGAGGAGAGTGAAACGGATGGCGTTATAGCAATTGATGTGAACTATCTTTCGAGTATGAAAATTCGGTTAACGAATTTTTTTAGGAAACACTAACGTTTCGCAATTATTCCGGATGTATCAGAATGAATCAATAAGCATCGCAAAAAGAAGGAGGTTTACTTATCGAGTCACACGATTAAAGAAATGTCAGCTTTTGTTGATGAAATGGAAACGCTTCTACGAATACAAGAGATCTTTTACGAATCATTTAATATTTTATATGCTAAACTCTGTACTCCAAGTCAGCCATCAAACAAAGTGACACTCAAAAAGGACACCGAAGTTTAGGAAACTTGTGAATAAGACTCGAGATTGTAATCGAAGCTGTCCATTCTGGTTTTGGACGTTTCTAATATTATAGCATGTTTGAGTGCACATCAAAGAATTTATCATATGATTCAGTCAACATTAAATGTATTAGTTTAAGTTTGCATACAAGTTAAAATGACGCAGCGGACTTTTAGATTTCTGAAGAACGTGACTCCTTACTTTATCACGATAATTATCACACGGACAAGCTAATAATTTCTTGATCCGAGAAATATTACAACTTGTTATAATTAATGGGACGGGAAAATAATAATTGGCAATTTTTATTCATCGTGATAAATATTTCATTTTAATAATCATAAAGAATTCTAAATCTGAATAAAGTTCTTTTGTCATCTTGCAGCATATCATAATCCAAAGCATGAATAATAAGCCTCAATTAAAAACTTTTTTAAAAACTAACAAAGGTTTTCTTATAAAGTTAGCATTAAACGGACCGAAAACCTGTATTCGGGAAACAAATACGTAAGGATGAGAGTATTTTTTGATTATTTAGCGGGATCTAGAATATACAATGACGTTGACCAATAAATAATTTGGTTAATATCAAAAAACTTTATTTTTTTTCGGAAAAAAAAATCAGATCCATTCCTTAATGGTACAAACTTTATCCGTGCACATTGTTTGGAGAAGGTCCCTCTTAATTTTCATTTTCGATCTAAACAAATATTCTTTCAATGTGAAAAAAAAAAAAAAAAAAACATCAATGAAAAAAAGCCTGTTATATTTCTGCGTTATTCTAATTTAATTTAGTTTAACTTTCCACGCCCAATGGGATTTGTTTTCACGAATTTTCTTAATCGACCATGTTATTTAATTGTAAACAAATAAATATTCAATTTCAAACTTGATGATAGTGAAAAAAAAAATTATTTATCTCGGGGTTTTGAAAGCAAACTTCCATCATTATTACGTAATAATTTAATTTATTTTGTGATTACACGGGACAAATTATTTTTACGCCATATCTCTCACCTAAAAAAAAAAAAAAAACTTTTTTCGTGAAACTAGACTAATTAATAATTAGTGATGGTCTTTTGACATTTCATATGATATTAGAAAGTTATAATTGATTACGTTAATGTTTATGTTACGTTATTTAATTTAATATAAATTTTTGGGTTCCAAAATTTTTTTTTTCCTTGTGTAAAAAATATTTGGCGTATACGGAGTGATCCACCCATAAGGATGAGATCATCTACCGTTTTCAAACCGCAATTTACGATAAATTTTATGACATCGAAAGAAAACAATGGTTCGATGTTTTTGTTGTAATTCATAAAAAAAAAAAAAAAAAAAAAAAAAACAGTTCGATGTATTTTCTATCCGAAATTCATCGAAAAAAAAAAAATGTATTTTTCATCGAAAGTGATCGAATTTCAATCCAAGCACATGATATTTTACCCAACGCCCAAATTGTAAAGACGACAATTAAGCTTAATTCCAAATTTTCACAAACTTAACCATAAAAGTCCTAATGACTCAGCCCTGACACAATTTAATATATGTGATATTTCAATCAGGTCAAACCGATTTTTTAAAAGAAAAAAAAAGAGGAAAAAAAAAAATTAGAGTTTTTAAAATAACGGACAATTTCTATTTCTATTCGTATGGATTGCATGACGCATTGCATACAAAGAGAATGAAACAAATCGCTTGCATAAATGAATTCAATTGTTGCGATATCTCTTTAACAATCAAAGAAACCATATGAAATTACCATAAACCGTGTACTGCCATTGTTCAAGTAAAATGATAATGAACGCGTTACTATTCGGAGGTTTTTTAGTTTTGTATCAAATAGTTATTTTCACCGAGTATGTAAATCAAGCGAAAAAAATTATTTATTATTAGCAAGTATTTCGATTTGAAAAAAGAAAGATTAGCGTTAGTCAACGTTACACCACACCTTATCATTGTCACCGATAATAAAGTTTTTTTTTTAGATCTATAAATCATCTCGTTATGTGGGCGCAACCTACGCATATTTATTATCATTACACAAACGGTCTATTTCGGAAGGAACTTTGAATCACTGCGTTCAAAAGTTCTACTAGTAATTTACTTCAATTAGTAAAACCGCGATGTAAACAATGACGCGCAAGACCTATTTCGTTTGATGTGATTTTCGACAAAAACGAGTTCAAAACAACTGTCAAAAGCTGTCAAGCTAAAAAAGTGCTCGCGGTTAAAGGATCGCACACACAAAAAAGAAAAACGTGGTAATTCAACTTGCGCCATCCGTTGACGTAGTGAACCGTCGTGGCGCAGCCATGACGTTAAGGCGCAGCTTGTGGCCAAAAAAAAAGACACTTTCGCGTGAAATTTCTTTTTTGGATTTTTTTTTTTTTTTTTTTTTATAAAAAAAAAAAAAAATTAAAATAAAAAAAAATAGGTGCATAAAGATTTTGATTAAATGATAATATTCACCCTTAAACATTTAATTTTTTTTTTTTCCAAATTTAACCGTTCCGGTGAAATTTATGTTAAAGGATCGACCGTTCAAAAAAAAATAGCGCTCGCGAATTTTGATCATTTTCAAAAATAAATTTATTTTCAACATAAATTAATTTTAAGAAGATCAACAACAAAAGGAAAACAACAATGCTCATATGATCATTTATTATAAAACAATCATGGCAATTTACCTTAGTTGTAACAATATGAATTTCTTAATAAGAAATAAATTCTGTAATTTACAATGAATTTTTAATTAACCAAATTCTTTTCTCCTTTATTAAAATGTGAAGCTTATCTTTTGTATATCAAAAGATTAATAAGCGAGTGTCATATTTACTGTAAATGTTTCGTTTAAAGGAATATCATAACAAAAAAAAAAAAAGTAAAAGAAAATATTTATTCAATAAATAATAAATAAAAACCAATGAGAATTCGAATCTAACAATATAATTAGAAATTTCGTAATGTTAACTTTACTAAATTTTATTTAGGAGTCAATTTTATAAACAAAGAATGAGATTTGTTGTTATTCTATACCCTTCTTTCCCATATATATTTCACGAATTCTATTATCGTCGCCTTGTTCTCAATCAAGTTATAACAGAAAGGATTATGAAATAATTTAAAACTCGTACTAATCTTTTAGGGTTCATAATAATTCATCTAAATTAAAATTTTAATTTTTATATTTCATAAAAGTGATGATGAATTTGTGATTGGAATTTTTCTGTCACCCTTGAGTGGTTGTGACATTCATCGCCCGTAGACATCCTAGAGTGACATACCTAAACATCACACAGCCCCCCACACCACTTTTGGGCAATATTTCGGGGGGGGGGGGGAGGAATTCTTTCATTTAAGAGATTGTGAACAAATATGGAAATCGGTCTTCTTTTTAGCACAGATACCTTTTTTTATGAATTTATCAGGCAATATCCGTTTTTGAATTTTTCATGTTAAAACCAAGTTCTCATCATCTTTTATTATCGACATCTAAAAATAAATATTACACTTTTCTTTACAAATTAAAGGTGAAATTACGTAATAAGCTCAGAATGGTTAGATAACTCGAGTGAGAAAGAAGGCGTTCGCCTCGAATAGGATTGTATACAAAGGGATGAAAGGGAAATGAACGATGCTAGGTGGTCCAAGTGTGTTTATTTACACTTTGTTTACACTTCATTAATTTCTTTTAAATCCAATTAATTTATTATTAATATTTTTTTCATAGAAATCTCCAATATTATTATTAAAAGGAGAAAATGGTATATTCCCCGAGACTTTCACAGAATTATCCCAACCATCTTATTGGCAATTTCGGAATAACTCCAATTAAGATTTTCCTAAATAAAATTAAAGTAATTTTCATTGCGGCAAAAAGTTGATCAAAAATGCAATGTTCATCCAAATAAGTAAAGTAAAATAGTAGTAGAGAGGAAAAAAAAAAAAAAAAAAAAAAAAAATTTAAGAAATTTTTTTTTTTTTAAAATTAATTAATAGAAAATGGTTGTTTATTTATTTTTATTTTTTTTCTTTGGCGAAAAAATTTCTTCCATATGCACACAAATAACATATGATGCATGCTTTAATTCAAGCAAACACCAATCTCCTTTCACTTCATCGTCTTGGTCGCTCACACCAATAAACATAATCCAGTATTTTTTTTTTTTTGCTGTATAAACTCAGGTGAGCAAAATATTTACGGAATGAAATGCACGTATAAGGAAACATCATCCCGAAACTAACCGTTCTTCTGCAACCTTTTGCGAAAAAGAAACTCTCTTCTCTTGGGGAAATTCATCAAATTCTAGCTGGTTTTTCTTTCTGTAAAGGACTTTCGACAACTTTACATTCACGCTAATGAACATCATAAATCAAGAAAAAATTTGTAAAGAAAATCCCTCAAAAAATTCCTGATTATGACGAAATAGGAAATTGCGATTCAGGGGTTCTTTTTAGCCATTCAGATGAATGTCATATTGTCATTAAAACTAGGATCTCTCTCGACAAAAAGAGAATAAGAGAATGGAATCTTATAGTCGTGAGATGATATTTATAAATAGCACGCGTCAAAGAAAATATAGGACGTGGCGCAGCTTCTGATGGATTTTCGAGTGGTGTATCGACATTTGAAATTGTACTAATTATGATTTACTTTGATGATTTCCTTATTTGGCATCATCGGATTCACTGCTTGCTCATATGTTTCGTCCAAATTAATTTTTTTTTTTTTTTTTAAGGTTTTCTTTTATGGATTACCAATTGTATATCATACGATGGGGGTTATTCCATGACTATCGAGAAGATCAATTTCATGAATACAAATTTGTTTAGAGGCAAAACCCATCCAATAAGGTTCAAAACTTTCTTGTTTGGTTAAAGTTTCAGATTTTTAGACATATTAAAAAAGAGAGAAACTATAAAAACCCGTTGATCAGCAGGATAGTTGCTGCGTCAACATGATAGCTCGTCCACATGATTGCGCGTCCACATGATTGGAGTCTGAGTGAACCGATTCATCGCATCGAAGGTCCCTGCACTCGATTTCGATAACTTTTAAACTTGTTTCTGAACAAAATGTCGAAGATCCTATCGAAAGAAAGAAACTATTTTCCCAAACTAACCCCGAAAGAATGAATGATTTTATCAAGATTTCAGATGAGTATTGTGTTTGACGATGAATTCTCTTTCCTATACGATACGATAATAATCCCCGCAATGCTCGCACGTGGAATCTGATAATATGATCATCACGTGAGAAGCCATTTCCGTTTTGTTCCACTTTGCATTTAGAGATTACAACTTGAATCACTTGAATCACAAGCTTTACTAAAGTAAGCCACCAAACGTCAAAGGAAAATAAAAAAAAAATCTCACGTAAAATACGCAAAAGATCCTTTGATACCATGGGTCAATTAAAGATTTTTTTTTTTTTTTTTTGTTAGATAAACAATTAAGCATAATCTCGTCATCAACGTAAACAATTAATTAATACATTTTTAAATAATTTTTAATCTTTTTTTTTGAAAAAAAATTGATTTTGTGTAAGAAATTCTTTTAAAAGTGGGGGGTAAACCTGTATTTTTTTTTTTTTTTCTTATGTAACCAAAGACGAGCTTATCCGATAATAAAAAGCTCAGAATCAAGTATTTGCCGATTTGTTGTTATGTGTGTTATGTAATATCATCAACAAAATCAAGAAATTAACTCGATAGGCGTGTCATATGGTTTCATTTTTTTTTTCAATAAATTTTTTTTTTCTTTTTTTTTTTTTTTGTTTGTATAATAAGGTAAATACTGTGGGGTAATATTTAATTACCGTAATACTAAAATAATTTTTTATTTTTTTTTGTAAATATTATCGTAATACGCGATTAATAATGTAACGTTAATCATTTTTTCTTTTTTTCGACAAATCCTTTAATGGCCGAGGTTTTTTTTTTTTTTTAAAAGGAAAAAAAAATCTACGCAAGACAAGAAAAACAAAATAAAAAAACAAAAAGAGAAAAAAAGAAAAAAAAAAATTTTTTTTTATTCTTGTTCGAAATCCTGCCAATGTTTATTATTATTATTATTTTTTTTCCATTTGTCAAATGTTGATGGTTATGTAATGAGTAGTGTCATTTATTAATTTCACATGGTTGGGTAGGGCAAGTTCTTGTCTCGAAAGCCCTCCCTCGTTTCGTTTGTGATAATCGCAAAGCTGGTCGATTCTTGATTGGATCATTCGATTTAAACACCCATACAGATGTCATTCATGCATTGTTTTTGACCAATTTTTCCTTACTTTCTTTCCTGTTTTTCAACAACTTTGCCGTTTTTAAAAAGTTTCTCGGCTGATTTATTTTAAATGGCTAAAAATTGAATACCAATCATTTATCACCCGAATATAATTAAATTATGGTAAAAAAAAAAAAAACAAGTTCCTATTCAAAGAATCAAAAATGCAAAAAAGTTAAACAAGGTTTTGTTATTATTGTTATTATTATTATTTTCTTCCTTGAGATAAAGAAATAAACCTTTTGCCCCTATAAAAGATATACATTATTATTTAATTTAAAAAAAAAAAAAAATTAAACAATCATTGATAAAACAATATGAAAAAAAGAGATGTGTGGCAAAATAAACTTTTTGGATTCTTTGATCCTAACTTTTTGTTTGGACAAAAACCAATCGTCAAATAAAAAAAATGTTCGCTGACGAAAACATACATAAAATTCATGCACGGGTATCATTGAATTCTGATTAAGGTTGGAATTACCCTGAATAACGCATATAACGCATCTATGGAAATGCATTTAATATATCCAACTTGCCCGTCCTTTGTAATACTGGTATGTTTATTTTTTCTGGTAAAATAGCATGACCCGCATATCCGCATAACGCACGCATAAGAATAATTCGATCTTAACTTGATGGCGAAGCATCAACCAAACCCCAAGCGAATCGCTTCATTTGTCGCTTTTCGGCCGTATTTAGCAAACCTCCGATTTTTTGCGGTTTTCTTAACAGTCACTTGCCAATTATGTCGAAGTGGTGGTTTTTGGTGGTTATGGAGTTTCATTATCATTCTCTTTTTTGGTAAATGAAGATCTTCCATGTACACAATTCGAGAAAGGGAATCATGGTTCCAATATAAAATCACCAAAAGTGAAATATATAAAGAATCTATATTACATCCACATACATGTTATTTTACAAACAAGGAAAATGGATTTAGTAATGATTTACTTGTTTATACTTACATACCTTATCTAGTGTCTCCTTTTTTTTTAAAAAAAAAAAAATTAATAGTAATAAAAAAAGAGAGAAAGAAAAGATTCTTTCTAGATTGAAAAACATCCCAGAAGAATTAATGCGGGGAAAAAGACGTATGATATCATACTTATTTTGAACGGAATACAGGTTTTATTTGTGTGCAGAAAAAGCACTGACGTGATCCAAAAAAAAAAAAAAAAATAAAATAAAATATAATAAAATAAAAACAAAAATGAATGCGTTTCAATAAAAGGCGGGAAAGAACTAAATTGTTGTTTACGCAAAAAAAAAAAAAAAAAAATCGCCATGCTCCAACTTTATACTTTGGAAATTTATCCACTTTAAACACGCCACAAAAAAAAAAAAACACGAGAAAACGCATGATAACGCAACACATATATATTATGATTTCAAAACGCAAAATTTTATTTGCAACTTTTTTTTTTTTTTTTTTTTTTTACAAATAGACAAAATTATATATTACAGAAAAAAAAACGAACAACTATTTTTCTTTAACTAAGGAACAATGATTTACAATTTTTTAATTTTTTTAATTTTTTTGGGATTTTTTTTGTTTTTTTTTGTTTTCCCTCCTCCATTCCTCCTCCTTCCTCCTCCTTTCATTTCTTTCTCTCTTGCTAACCATCCACCAGATCTAACTTAAAATTACGATTTCGTAAAAATTGTTTCTTTGTTTGGGTTTTACGCCAACGAAAATAAAAATAAACGGAGTTTATAAACGGGGTTAAATTACTACTACTACTAACAGATTTTTTTTTTTTTAAAAAAGTTATATATTTTTGGAGGGGTTGCTTTTTTTGTCATTTGTTTGTTAGTGCACAACTATGTTATTTTTTTGTATCATGAAAAAAAGTAAAGGCGTCGGCCAATGATCATTGTTGGGTAACCAAGAAAAGGGGTACGTGCGAAAAAAAGTTAAGTTGAAAAGTTGGGATTATATGATGAATCTGAATTGTTTGATTGGAAAATGTTCGTGAATAATAATATCCTTAACTAAAGAAATGAAATCGACGGAAAGAAAAAAAAATAGAGAAAAAAAAAAATAATACTAAATCGATGTACAGTATATACAAAAGTTTTTTGAGTTCGTATTTTAAATCTCAGCTCGCTACTCTGTTTTTATTGAAATATTTGTGTGATTTTTTTTGAATTTTTTTTTTTTTGTTTTGTAAGAAAAACTTCAAGACGAATAAAATATTAAAATAGGAAATTTTTTTGATTTTTTTTTTTTGATTTTTGAACGAACCCACCACCAATCTGAAAATAAAAGAAACGATAAGAATAATTATAAAAAAAAAAAAGAAAGAAAATGTTTAAATGTTCATTTGTTTGTTCCAAATTTCGTTTATCAATCATGAATGTGTTGAAAAAAGCTAGTCTGACCAACAAAACCAAAAATAGAAAATGTGAATAAATTTTTGTTTTTGCTCAAGATGTTAGAGATTTCTTGTGAAAAGTCAGATGAAATGATCGTGGTTGAGAAACAAAAAAGACCTCATCATCCTCCTCTTCAATTTCTCGTGGATCCCAATCATCAGCGCTGCTGCTACTGCTTGAACTAACAATGCTACTTTCGTCATCGTTAGCTTCAGCTCCAGCGAACCGAACCAACTTTACGGCGGACGATCCCCTTCGAAGGCGAGGACACGGTTGAATTGACGGTGTGGAATTCGGTGATTTTGATGAACCATATCCGTACATCATATCTTCTGTGGAAAAATCATTGTAATCCAGGGAAGAAGTTGAGGAGCAAGAAGAAGACAGCGAAGCAGACCTCGTATAATAGCCATAAGAAGGGGTGGTTGTTGAAGTGGGAAGATAAGTGTCAAATGACTGAGGCTTGCGTAAATGTTTATGTTGAAGACGATGATGCTTTTTGTTTTTTTGTTGTATCGGAAGATACAATGAACCTGCTGATGAAGAATGAGAAGAAGCCATCGAAGCAGTAGCCATGACGGGTGTTATTGTGGTTGTATTATCAAACGTGGTTTTTATTAAAAACATTGGTTTAGCAATGGAGGTCTTTGTGGTTGTCATTATCGGTTGAATAAAAATGATTCTTTGTTTGGAAAAATTTAAAAAAGGGAATATAATATGTATGTAAAAATTGTTATTAAATAAAAAACTTTTTTCTTCACAAAAAAAAAAAAAATATTCTCGCGTATTTAAAAAGACGAAGAGTTTCGCTTATGGTGAGGAATAATGAATATAAATATTATTTTGATTATGAAATTATTTTTTTTTTTTTTTTTTTTTGAAGAAAAAAATTTTTTTATGGTTGGAAGTAAGGAATAGAACCCACACTATTTATTTAAATTCACTCATTCAAAAAATTTCAAATTGAAATAAATGTATAAATTAAAAAACTAATATACTGTCGATTATTATTATTAATTTTTTTTTTTTTTTTTTTTTTATTTCAATTAATACAATTTGTGGCGTTAATTCGCTTACTTTATTACATTAGTCGATATCTCCCTCCCGCATAACATAAATAATTAAAATAATTACTGATATTCATTTTATTTTATCATTTTATTTTATTTTATTTTATTTTTTTTTTCATTTACAATAAAAACAAAATTTTACAACAAAACTAGAAGTGGTTTTTACTCCAAAAAAAAAAAAATTTATTCACTATATAAATAAAAAAAAAAAAAGGAGGTTTTCTCCTTTAGTTCTTTACCCCTTTCAAAGAAATTATTATTATTATTATTATTATTATTATTATTGTTATTGTTATTGTTATTGAAATGGACTTTACGTTTTGATTTTAAAGATGATTCAAATCTAATTCCAAAGGAATGTGACAATGAAAAAAAATACATTTGCTAATTAATCACCTCGCAATCACCTCACACATATCACCCGCACATCACATATCACATATCACATCATGATATCATGTCCGTAGATAATAGTGGATGTCTGACCTAAAATAGGTAAGCGCAACGGATCCATACAATTTGGAAAATGTTCTTTGGATTGACCAAATTAGAGATGAAATAATATGTCGCTGATTAAATGAAACTTGGATTATTGGTCGGAAATCAAGCCGTTTCTTCAAACACCAATGACGAAATTAAGTTCTCGTTTATGTTCAGGATTTCACTGAGAACAATTCATCTCAAGCTTGCATTGATTTCTATTTGGAGGAAGAAAAAAAAAAAAAAAGAACAATATGAAGGGAAGTAGTATAGTTATTTTTTCGTGTCATGGGTTCAAGACCATTGGCTGTATAAATTTCAAAAAATTTTACTTTTTCCATTTGTCTGGCGCAATAAAAATATTACTTGTGGCTAAATCAATCCAAAGCATTTTTTTTAACAGGATTGTTTATAGGAAATTTCCAGAAAATAGGGTTTGAAAATTTTATATTTCTGTTACAAAAATGGAATAAACAATAGCTAGAAATACGTCATTCAATAAGAGCTTGTGACACGATTTGTATCGGCCATAGTACCAACTATAGGGATCAATGTATTTTAAGTTTAGCTGACAACTTTCTAATATTGCGTCAATTTATTAGCCGTGAACGAGAATGAATGGAAAAATGCACTCTGTAAATCCCTGGTCTGCGTGGTTGGGGTTTTTCGTTGTTATTGAATTCTATAAGGTTTGGGCGGGTTTTGAAGGGGGGGATAAACGATTCCTACTCTATTGTTGTTTCTTAATCTATAAAAAAAAAAAAATTAATATTTTTTTTTTTTTTCACTCATGCATTGCATAATTTATTAAAGTGAAAAAAGGTTACAAACTTTAAGCTATGTTTTTTTTTTTCAGGTAAGGCAAAAAAGCAGAATGTTATCATCGATATTTTACAATTGAAAACAATCTGGTTTGAGCATTCATTTGTTCCCATTTTTTGTACAAATTTAGTATTTTGGATGCCGATGAACCTTCTTCTCATTCGTTAAAAAAAAATTGATTTTTTTTGAACGATGCGATAAGTATTTTTTTTCAGATAAGCGAAATTTTTTTTTGCGTGGGCTTTTTCTTTCTTTCTTTGTGGGTCTCGAACAAGCTGACATATAAAGTTTAGCGTTATTACAAAGACAAAACGAAAAAAATTAAGGGGGTGAGAAATATATATGACAAGATATCATTACATATACACATTTTTTTTATAGTAGTCATCATTTTCAATAATCCAAATATAATCCATTGTCTTACATTGATTGCAGCTGTGTATGATGACCAAAGGATTAGGAAAAAAAAAAAAAAAGTTAAGATAAATTTCACCTACAAAACGAAGGATTCACGAGTCCATTGAGTGAATGAATCTTGACAACGAGGACCGACTCGATAAGAACGTTCATGCACGCTGAGACAATGAATGCATGGGATGAATTCTATTGCATGAGGATTTTAAAAGGCACACATGACAAATATCAAGTGACGACGACTTCAAGTCAAAATGAAACCCGAATCTCTTTGAATCGTCAATTTAATCTATAATAGCTTATTTTCGCGTAATACTTAAAATACTTAAAACGACCGATAAAACAATTTTCCTACTGGTTAAAAGAGAGATTAGCCAGCCATTGTAAATTTCATGTTTAGGTGTCGGTTACAAATTGGAAAGATATGGGGTTTTTACAATGTGTAACACACACTTTAAAAAATAAGGTACGTAATTTGAAACAATAAAACCTATTATCCCTTATAATACACATTTTCATGCACCTAATTAACATTGCATATTTGTTGCTTTTTATTTTATTTTATTTTTTTTTATTTATTTTAGTTTTTTATTTTGATAGAATAAGGTTTAGGACTCATGGAGGTCAAAAAGAAATTTCTCTTGATTGTTGAGAAAAAAAAAAAAATTTGTCATGATCGTCCGGACCAAAGGTTTTTCATTTTCTTCGTCTTTCTCGTACCGCGAGCAATGCGATAAACCATATAAATTACCAAAATTGGATTTGACTTCTTGGCGACCTTATTTGAAATGCTATCCAATGAGCAAACCTGTCAAAAAGTCATTGGTCGAGATCCAATTTGATAAACAGCTGAAACTTCGATCGAAATCATCACCTCGTTGTTTCACCCACCCCATCACGGCAAGATAACCTTTTTTACAATAAACAAAATATATGTACATTGCTTAGATTTTTTATTTTCCTTGATGTATATAAAAAATGTTCAAAGTTAATTGAAGTAAACAAGTTTGGTTTATTGTGCCGTACAAGTTCATATCGGATAACGTTCTTAACATAGATAAATTGAGTGGAGTTACAAACATAAACATATATATAAGAGAGAGATATTGTGTGTGTATATTTACATGTAAATTCAAGTAATTGTTGTTGATTGGAACCTTATGTAAGGGTGTTTAATTTTTCTTTATTAAAAATGTTGGAGGCTTATCTTATTTTAGACGATTTTTTTTTACTTTACTTTTTTACACTTTTATGTACATTGAAAAAAAAAATCTTGTTCAATCTGTTTATGAGATACGGAGATAATTAGATAATCTTTAGAACTTTCCTTTCTTACCTAACCACGCTAACGTGGAAATACTCGACCAAACTTGAAAAAAAAAAATTTTTTTTTTTTCCAATTACCAACATTGACAATAACAAATCATGATTTGTCTGATAATTGATTGAGATAGGGAAAGGAAAAAAAGGATTATTAAAAAAAAAACAGGTGTGCTTTTTTAATACATTGCAAATGAAATTTATGCATGAAAGGTATATATAATCAATCAATTAATTAATTAATTAATTAATTAATTATCATTGATTGGGATTATGGATTATGATGCATGAATGTGATTAAACGAAAGGCAATTTCTGAAACCCTAAAAAGCGAGAACGAGTGTCATTTTTCAAAAAGTTTAATTAGCTATAAATTTTTTTTTTTTTTTTTTTTTTTTGGTGATGAATACCTTGTCTCGTGTAAGTATCACATTTTCCAAATCTCACGCTTGAAAAATAAATCACTTTTCATCTTATCACCAACAACAAATTTCTGTTATTTACCAGTAAAACCACATGGCACATAACCAACCCAAATAATGTTAGCTAATCCAAAAGGGTCGATCATTCACTAATTTGTTATCTTATTCTAACCAAATAAGTTTGTAATTTTACGCCAAAGTCAAACATAAATTTCTCGACTAAAATACGATTAACGAAAATCCGCCATGATTGGTTAGCGAAATTACATCATGGAAAATTGGAATCTAAATGATTTTTAGAAGTTACCTTATAAATAATAGTTTTTTTTTTTTTAGGAGAATGAGATTTAAGTTATGTGGGTATTGTATGCACTAAAAGGTGTTAAAAAACCGACTCTGAGGGACATTTCAATGGGGTGTATGGATCTTACTAAAATAAAAAAATCAAAATAAAAACAAAGTTGGTAAATCTTTTTAAAATTAAAAAAAAAAAAAAAAGATTTCCAGTTGGTTAAAATACCATGTGGTAAATTTAAGATAATGAAGGGTGAGTCTTTTAATTTTAGCTTTTTTTTTTTTTTGATATTCATTTTCAAACTTTAATGGAAGATTATGTCGTGAATGATTTAAAGGACAAAAAGAATTCCCAACGTGAGGGAAGGTGATGGGAATCGTATTTAGCATGTGAAAAAAACTAGTGTACCGACGATTCCACTAGATGCAGATCGAATCGTTTCATCATTATTTATTTGTATTACCTCACATGATTCATTGGGCTTTGAATCCAAAGAAGAAATGCGCCAAATGGAAAAAGCGTCCCCGCTTATTTATTTGCAACTTTATCTCCTCGTAGCATTATAACGTCAAACGAGTATTCGTGTTTTGTGAAGTCGGGAAAACGGATCATCCTGAACAATTTTAAACAAATTTGGTAAATAGAAAAACCTCTTAAAAATTTTTTAATAAATCCAAGGGGGGGATTTCTTTTTTGTTGTTCTCCCTAAATGCGGGCGAACAGCCCACCTTTGTCAAAGACGTCACATCACATAAGCCAGGCCAGGTTCGGAAATGGATCTTGATCTAACGTCAAAACGTTTTTAATAAACAGAATCGTTTCCAAACCGATCATAGTTCATCATGCCACGTGATCGATTATTCCGGACGGGATTTCGCCCAATTACATTTTCCCGAGACACTTTCACAAAAACAACAACTTGTGGATATGTGATCGTTCGCTGCGGTGAACAAAAAAAAGTCACGAGCCGACATTAAATTACCGAGACAGAATTAATTATTTGTTTATTTACATATAAATATATCATCACACAATATTACTATTATTTAATTTCTAAAAATAAGTTAAATTCCCATACCGGTCTAACCCGGTTTTCCATCATTTTATCATTTTTGTTTTTCATGGGTAATTTCCAAATCCCGTTCAATATTTAGGTTATAATTTTATGGAACCCCGAACTTACCCCGCTTCGGGTAGTAGTTAAATGGGCGAAAAAATAAACTCCGAGATTGGATGTTAAAATAATGTATTCAAATGAGAATAATGAGAGTCAGAATGAGAATTAAGGTTTGACAAAGTAATCAGGCATTATCTCCCGCAAATCCTTTTTCAACATTCTATTAAAGATGAGCGTATCTTTATTAGGGCGTAAATTTGGGTCTCCAAACGTGCTAATTGAAGAGTGCGTTTCGGTTAATCCGATCGATAAACAAGGTATCACAGCGTGGACCTCCAATTCATTGATGCTGCGGATTCCACCTTAACCATATTTGACAAGGGTTGAATGTCATTAGGGTATGGATCATGCATTATCCGACATTTGCATGAAGGCGCAGCAAGCCAAAAAATTCAAAACCAAATAAAGCACGGGCGTTAATTAATCCGACATGGTTGGACAACATAATTAAGGTGTGTGTGACATCTGTGAATGATCACCTCGTCGTTTGTCACCTTAATTTCAAAGTGATGATTGGGTGGAACGTATCACGACTCGGGATAAGTGCTGTTTCACAATTCTTAAAAATTCAAAAAAGCACACGACATCAAATATATGCAACTTTAAAATGAATTTGTGATAGATAATCTGCGCATTGGACAGTTCGTAGTTTGGTGGACATTGACAAAGAAATTCTAAAAATTGACACACTAGAGCTTTTTTTAAAAAAAAGAAAAAAAGAATAAAAAATTTGCCCAACTTTTGTATAATTATTTTTGTGACATTATAAAAACAGAAACCTGTGTAAGGAATCTTAATTGGTTTGAATACAAAGAACAGAGCATGTGCATATATGAATTTGTATACAAAGAAATGTACACAAATTAATTCAAATTTGGACATATGTTTTCAGTAATTAGTTTATTATTACTTGTTGTAGGTTGTTGTTGTTTAACAAATAATTATTATAAGAATAACAAAAACAGGTTTTTCGCTAATGGTAATATTTAAATTTTCATTAAAAAAAAAAATATTTTTTTTTTTTTCCTCTTGATAGAAAGAGATTTCATAACAAAATGCAAGCTTTATTACCTGAATTCAAAGAAATCTGAAAAAAAAAAAAAAACTAGAATTTTGTGAAACTTATACTGGATGCAAACTTGAACCATCTAATTGTCTCAATTTCAAATTTCAAAGCAAATGACGGACGGAAATTGAAATTCGAAGCAATCGATGAGTTCGATTCGAAATAAAAAAAGAAAAAAGAAAAAAAAATTTTCTTTGTAAACTTGCCAAGAATATAATTTTTTTTTTTTTCCTGGACAATATTGTGATGTTATCACATGGTTGTACGTACATGGACCATGGATCATGGACCTTCTAAACTTATCTTCACCCATTCCTTAAAAGTTGATAAATAATATGATATGTTTATTTTTTTTTTTTATACATTTATACATGCAAAATCAAAGTATATAAAAAAAAACAAAATCGAAAAATGAGAACATAACCTTATTTGGTTTAAATCAAAAAGATTTGCATTATTTTTTTAATCAAATAACCTTTGAGGCCAAAACTTTAATTCTTTTGTGCTACATGGTTCGAAATTCAATACACAAATCCGGCAATTCTTTTAAACTCGATGATTCATAATGGTTTTAATTACTGCGTATATAATAACGAAAAGAAAGAAAAAAAAAAAGGGTCACTTTAATAACTAGTAAGCTCAATAAAGAATATTTCACGTAATCACGGAAGTACCATTTCATGTCTTATTTTGATGGTACAAAACAGAACAAGAACCACAAAATTTTTTTGGGGTGGATCCTGATCGGACTCTTAATTGCGTTCATGCCGTGCCTTTGATTATTTAGATACGCGCAACATTTCATTATACGAAGCAGTTGAAATCAGATTCAAAGAATTATGTTCTACAAGTTTTGTGTCAATGAGAAGATGACCGATTCTTACATAAAACGAAAACAAAAAGGCTCCATTGGGACTTTATGTGAAATTCTTGGGGAATCAAATTCTATTTCTCGATTTTTCAGATATGAGACTGGCGGGTTGATGCACAAACAGATATGCAACATACATGAGATAAGAAAGTTTCCTAATTTAGGTGGACTTTCGTAGAGAATTTTACTACGCTGGTAAAAAGATCCGTATCTTGATTCATTACTATCAGATAATTACTGATCCTTATTGAAATATCATCATTCTCCCGAATGTACACTCGCTCGTGCCCGTCGCTTTTCTTGAAACTGTCACGATAAAAACATCGATGAACTGCGGTAATTCACATGAGATGTTTCTTCTTAATCACTCGTACAGTTGCACTCAGGAGTATAAATATAAAACGGAGTACGAGTTGAAATGTGTAAATATGTAAGCACATGCACGTATTTTTAATACTGCCATTTTACAGTTAGGATTCGGCTTAGTGTCAAAATTTATTTACAAAAAAAAAAAAAAAATTTAGTCCTATTAGAGTTGATTTTTTTTTGATTTTATCAATCTATGAACTTTCAATGAAGGGTGGATGGAAAATTTAAAATTGATAACGCGGAATATGCGAGATAAATTACATTTTTCCTTTACTATGGTTGCATTTCTGTTATTTTTTTTTTTTTTTTTTTTTTTTCCCTTTGTCATCAAATATTACGTGTTGTCATTTTTTTTTTGTTTCTTGTACAAAAACTTAAGGAAAGAATCTTTGGTGTTCCGAACTTTTATTGGGAAAGATTAAAGAAAAATCAAGTTTGCAAACTTGGATTTTTAAACATTGTTGTACGCGTGTATCACAAGCTGTGCGCGCAGTAAATGTTAATCTGTACAATGGCAGTACTCAGCAAATGAGATGTTTCCTGCAGAAAAATTAAACGTAACCCAAAAGACGCCAAATACTTGAAAGGAATCATTTAAATATTCTATTTATGGTAAGCGAAATCTGAAACAATTCATTGAAAAAAAAAAAATATATTTTTTTTTTTTTAGGTAATTTTTTTTTTTTTTAAAAAAAAAAAAAACATAATGACCAGAACATGTGCGTTATACGGACGGTAGATTATTTCCTAAAAAATTTTTGATGAATGTCTTAAAATGTAAATAAATTTTTTTTCAATTTTTCAACAAATAATTTAAGAGTGACGAGAGAAAAATAAATTAAATTGATGATGGGATAACAATTTATCTTTCCTAAAAAAAAATCAATAATTATGATGATGATATTCATAGCGACGCCATCTTTTTCAAACAAATTTCCCGAATTGACACAAAATCATTTTTATTATTTATTTTCCTTCAAAGGAAAAGGCATAATACTGCACCACGTTTTAAGAGGCTTTCAACCAGTAAAATCGCAAATATTGCGCAGAATCTAAAAGGTTTCACATATATATATTTTTTTTCTTAAAGATTTAAATAGGAAATGTATCAAAGAGAATTGATTTATTTTGATTTCCACATCAAAAACGTGCGGATTAGAAATGACTAGATCAAGTTGTTCGAAATCATCACGTTGTGCTGTTACTTAACGAAATCAATCATCACCAATATACACACAATACATGTATCAGGAATTGTCATTTCCCCCGCGCCCGCCAAAGCAAAAAATTCCCGTATCACATTCTCGCACAGATGCTTTCTTTGCTTGCAATTTTAATTGATCCGGATAAATGTGATCTGTCCAAAATTAAATTAAACCATAATTTCCAACCTTTGTCAAAAATCGATAAAAACCACATGGGGATGAATATTCATCATTGATGCGTCAACTAAATGAATGAGCTAGAATTTCAACATATCGTAATTATAATACTTCGCACGCGTCTTTTAATTTTCCTTTTTTTCATGACCATATCTTGATGGGATACTACATTCTACTTGCATAAGGTGTATTTATTTATTTTAAAATCTTGTTATTTTTACCATATACATTTACAGGTTCTTTAACCGGTTTATTCTCACCCCATATATTTGATCTTCAAAATTTTTTACTTCTTTAATGTGTTGCATATACGAATTACATAAAATTCTTTGTCTTTTTTTTTTTTTTTTTTTTTTTCCTTCTTTGTTATGTATAAAGAAACAGGAAATTGGTGACAAACCAAAAGGTTAATGAGACGCAGTGTGATTCGTGTGATTTCTTCGAATATTTGTGATATTATCAAATGATTTTTTTTATGTATAATAATAATATAAACACGAACGAAATAAAAAATCATCAATTAAAAGTGATTAATTCATCCGAGTATAATCAGTTTATGTTATGACACGAGAATTAGGACCGATTGCACTAAGATAAAGAAATTTATTAATCTATAATTTAAAATATTTTCATGAGCAAGAGGAGTTTGAAACACCAATTAAAATAATGGGTCATCCATATCATAAATTTACAAAGGATTACTTCTATGAGTATCATGATTATCCCGTCCGTTCAGGAAGTTGATTTTTAAATTTACAAGAACCTTGAGCGCGAAAGTTTCCGAAGTTGTTAGCTTGTTAACAGACCTCCTCCAAAAATATAAATGAGCAAGAATCCATTTAAGGAACTTATTTCATAAAAAATAAAACTCTTCGTTTACCGAACCTTTTTTCCATTTCAATTATAAATGTACGATTATTTTGACATAACAACGTTTGATTTGTAACAAAAAAACTACGTTCAGATATAAATGTAGCCCAAAAAAGTTGACCTCATCTTAGGAAAGACTGCGTATTCGTCCCCGTGTGTCGTTGAATTTAAAGCTGAAAGTAAAGCCACACAGTTTTTTTAGAAATTATTCTTATGTTAAATTTCTTTGATCGATGGCTCAACAATTAATTGGGGAGGAAAGATGCAAAGGTATGGAATGATCCTAAAGTAGTTTCTCAAGGATTGGCGCATTTCTTAAATATAAACCCAAAACCTTAATACCTGTGCATTATTAAATTGGATGCGCGAATGTTTAAAATTTTCTTTATGGAGATCTATCTTTATGGTCAATAAATAATAATATTATGAATTCAAGGAGAGAAGGTTTGTATGTCTTGATTGGTTGGAAGATTTTTTAATTAATTTTATTTTGGAAAGTATTTTTTATTGGTGAGAAACCTCTTTTTTTTTTTAAAAAAAAATTTAGAAATAAAATGTTAATCCGTACGGGAACCTATTGCGATCAATTACCACAAATAACTCTTGGAATTATTGCATGTGGATTTCTTGTTCCAAACAAAAAGTCTGAAATTGGAAATATCGGAAATATTTTTAAGTTTAGAAAAAATAATAAGAAACCAACCAAAATTTTTAATTATAAACACGGTCTTTTTTTTTTTTTTTTTTTTTTTTTTCTTTTATTGTTTCTTTTATTGTAAAAAAAAATTTAATTCAAAATATATATATATATATATATATTTTTAGATATTAGTGTTCTGTATTACTTAAAACTAACATAATAAAATTTAATTTATTTATCACATATTTGTCATTTATGTTATTTTTATAATAAATACCATTAATACATTTTGTTATCATCACATTATAGTCTAAAATCCTTCGATCCGAAAAATGGTAAATTAGGCTAAATGGTATATAGATCATAAGGAATCAATTTCGGGTAAATATTTTATTATTTACCAATCCAAATTGAAACGGTATATTTATCTATCAATCATCACTAAAATATCATCCATCATATTTTTTTTTGTTTTCTTTATTTTTTAATTTCATCGGCCGTCCGATTCTTTACACGGAGTTTGCGAGATTGGTCAATGATAGATCCCAATGTCACGAGGAATATCTCGTGTTTATTAAATATTGATGGGCTGCGTGTAATAGTCATTTATTTAGGTTCTCTTTTAAAATAATTTTATTTTTTAAAGTTGGGGAATATTTTATTACATGAACAACGATTTAATATCATATAAATAAATAAGTTTATTTAATGAATAAGTAAGGGAAAAAAAAAAATAAATAAAAAAAAAAATTCTTATTATTCATCTTATACTCATACTCCTCATCATCTATATTATGAGCATGAAATATATCACACCTTTTACAAGGAATGTTTCTTCAATACCTTCGTATAGATCAACCTCAACACGTAGGAGTTTCCTTAATTCTTTATTATCAAAGCGATTGATCAATGGAATATGATATTTCCTTATCATCATCATCATCAGATCAGTCGATTCAACAGATGATGTTTCCCTTTCTTCCATGTCATCATCTGATTCCTCGGTAGGTATCCCGTGGACCCTTGTTATATGCCGATTCTGCCCTAGAATAACCTGTAATTTATTTAATAATAATAATATTATTATTATTTACTGTTTTACATATATAGGAATGCTTTGCAGTAGAAAGGGTGGTGGAAAATAAAAAATTTTTTATTCTTTCCAAGTAAATGATGCTCAGATTTTAGAATTTTTGGCAATATATTCCATAAAAAAAAAAAAAAAAAAATCGACTTACATTCCAAGGTTCGGAAAATTTATCTGTTTCCTCCTCTTCCCGCTTCTGTTGGGGTGGTTTCCCTAAGATGTTCTTCCATCTCGGCTTGTTTTTTCATAAGTTCTTGCAACTATACGTAAAAGAAATGTGCGCATCATCTTAATATTATAAAATAAAACCGTAATTTTTTATTTATTTATTTTTTTTTGTCAATGAAAGATCTTACAAAAAGTCCATAATGTCATGTTTCATCAAATAATCATATCCAAGATCTGGAAAAGATTCCTCATTCTTCATCGTAATCACCAACTTCAATCTTAATATATCTTTCAAAGCAATGGGACTCCAATAATTTAATGATCGTTGCTCTTTCAAGGCCTTCATATCGGAGTTTATCATCAATATTCATGTTAATAAATCTGATTTTGCTCTTGATCTGTCAATATCGGCTTCAAGTACCTTATCATTGTGAGCTTAAAGTCTACAAAACCAAGGATAAAAGTTCATGCAAAAGTTGAAAGGTAATATATATTTAATATAACCAAAATTTATTTGTTTCCAAAACTTTTAAACATTTGTAATTTCCTTTACAATAATAATGCTTTTAGTCTGCTCAAAAAAAGATTAGGAATTAGCTCGTGAAAAACGATTGAAATTATCTGTGTATATCAAATATGATTTCATTGTGCATAATAAACATTGTATTTTTGAACATCAGAAGTCAAAAAGATCCTCTTGATAATCTTTTATTTTAATAATTTTGGGAAATTTGGCGTTATCTTTGTTATCTTGCATATCTACTTATGTGTCACACCACACACATTGTTTTATTTTCCCATTGTTTGTTCATAATAAAAAGTCTCAAAAAAAAAAAAAGTCCAAAAAAAAAAAACCAAAAAAAAAAAACTCCCAAAACAAAAAAGAAACAAAACAAAAAAAGAAACTTCAACTTCATCTATTAAAAAACTTATTGAAATATTTCACATTTAAATGACAACATATTCGTCAAAATATTAAAAGATGATATACCCTGTATACACTATATACACTCTTATCGAGCCGCTTAAATTATTTCCTATAACCTTAAGGTTCAAAGAACACCTATTCTTATAGGCGTGCTCGTCTTGAATGTCCGGTCGCAGATTTTACGGGGCGACCGGACTCAAAACTATAAAGAAACGCGGCCGGGCTCCAGGTGACGTTACGCCTGTGGCGGCCCGGGGTTCCAGGGTGATATTGAACGCTGGCGGATTTAGAATTTTAAATATGAAATTATTTATGTAGTTTTTCCATTTGTATTGAATATAGTTAGTTACCTTCTTACCGATTTTCGTAGATTTTTTAATTAAATTTTAATATAGTTTTCCTTTTACCATTTCTTAAATTGATAATTATTTATTGAATCAATATTTTTTTTTAGCTATATTGAATACTTAATAAATATTTCTTGAGTCATCACTTTATGACTTCCTCGTGATATTTTGAATCTCTGCGCCTTTCATGTTGTTTTCAAGATTGGAAAAACTCCATAATTATCTTGATTTTGCAGTCGTAATTAAAGTACATTTGTACCGCCAGCGTTGTTCACATTTTCTAATTTCGTCATACCAGTGATAAATTTATTACTTCTTTGCTATTTAATTCTTTATGAAGTATAAAATTTAAAATCTACTATAATGTGATCAACGATACCCACCTTTTGAGCACTATTTTCAAGGATCAAATAAAGAATTTATTAACATTAATTAAATATTTACTCTATGATAATGCGTGTCGCTTTTAATGAAAGATTTTCTTTCGTCTGAGATTCAAGGGTTTGGATTTTCAATCAAATATTTGACGACTATCCAAGTGATTGTTGATATGGTTCTTTTTAATGCTTAATTGTTCTTGTTGAACTGCCTTGTTACCTCCTTTAAAAGTACATGTGCTGTAATAAATGAAAAACACTGGAGTTATAAGATTTTTCGAATAATCATTGAATGCAAGATCAAGTAACGAAAAAAAAAAAAAAAAAAAAAAGAAGTAATCGTGGAATTGATATCCAAAAGAAGGATAGGACCAGCGTATGGGAAATTTGCTATTAAAATCACGTTACGGATCATATGATTTACTATTCGATTTTAATAGCAATGTTGGAAGGACCACAATTTCCCATCGTTCATTAATACATTCACATCCGACCGAAGATTGAACTTACTCACGTTATCATCATAATTTGAAGATGTTAACATTTTCTTCATTGGGCACTTCAAAAGGTATTATTCATTTTCCATATTTATAATGGAAATTTGCGCTTCTCTTTGTCAATATTAACTTTGATAGGGTCTCGAATCTGATATTAACAAAAATTAAAATAATCATTACAACTTAATGACTAAAATAACACAAACTTATACCTTGTTGTCAGCAGCGTTTACCAATACTTCATCCACTATTTTATATAATTCTGGTACGGAGATAACGTCTTTATAAGAAAAAACGATGTATGAGATATACGAATTAACATAATTGTAAGGCGAAGTTATTAAAAACTTTGAATAAAATTTACCTGTAAACAAAGCCTTTTACATTTCAGAATTTTAAACCTACATCTTATCTTTTGAAGGTTCAATGGATCCGTATAAGTCGGGTTGAGATACAAAAATTTGTCACGTGAGAGTAAATTCGCGTGAGATCATTCTCGTGTTGCGTGATGCGTGATGCAAAAATGATTTAAAATCAATTAAAATTCTCCAAATGACGGTAATTTCAAAAAGGCTCCGAAAGGAACCTTTTGCCCGTCACAATTGACCACTTACCTTCTCACAACTGTCAAACAAAGACAGGCACTATCTCACTAAATCACAAAGCTGTTCTCACAGTTAAGTTCTATTTAAAGACAACATGAAATAAAGCAGAAATGGAGAAAAGTTATGCCATCAAAGGTTTTTATCGCTGAAGAGACAATAAATATGAATGAATAGAAATAATCTGGAATCATAGAAAAGAAAAAAGGAGAATGATAAACTAATTGTGTTTAGGAGAACACTAATCTTAATTAGGAATTTACAAGGTAGCCAGTTCAAAGATTTTTATTGATGGTAGGTGATGCTATAATTATGATGGTAATTAATCCTTATATAATCATGCTTAAATTAAATTAAAATTTTAATTTTTAATTCGGATTTCAGTTTTGCGCAATTTCCATCATTGGGATTTTTCTTTTCATACAAAGTTTAATTTGTGTAAAGCAAAAAGGTACTCATTTAAAAATATTATTACGCGAGGTAAAAAATGTTTTATTGATTAATAAATTACATTATGACGTGATCAACCAATCAATAACATCATTCCAAACTTCAAAATAAAGATAATGACCTTTTTCTTCAACAAAACTAGCTTCACAACCAGGAATCTGTTCAGCAATATATTTACCCATAGAAACCGTTGTTCTGCAATCTTCTTCGCCATGCCAAATTTTACATTTTACACCATCACAAATTTCATTCAGTTGAAACCCCCAATCTTTTCCCCATAAAGAATATTCATAACATTCAGTTTCAATTTGACCTCTAGAATACATCTCTAATGAACTTTCAATAAACATTTCTTCAACCCCTTCAATATTTTCAACACATTTTAAATCTGATGGGGGCCCGGTGCTAAGACCATTTCTACTTGCTTTAACTGGATCTTTTATATCGGTATATGATTCCATTCTTGCTATCGCTGATAATAATCCAATTCCATTCTTTGTTAACCACCAAGCAAGCTTTAATGTCCAAGGCATGTTAACAGTCAGATTAGGTGCATTATAAGGTGCAATTGAACTAATAATAGCCGCTTTTGTAATTAAAGGTTTATTAGAGTTAAAAGAAGGTTTTCCTATAGCATAAGCAGCGGCAAGACCGTATGGACCACCAGCAGAGTATGCTATTAAAGAACAATTCGTAATATGTTTTTGAACACAGAATTCACTAATATCTTGAGCAAAATCCAAAAATGATCCCTTAATAAAAGTAGATAAACCAATGCCTGGTCTCTCTAATACATATAATATAATCTGTAAAGTATTATTATCAGATAATGATTCATTTGATTTATCATTATGAGAAGAGAGATTATTTGGTAAAGAAGCGAGAACTTGTGGGTGACAAAAGAATCTTGAACTGGGCAAACCAGGAATTAATAATATAACTTGTTCCTTATTGAAATCATTTGCAATTGGATGTGAAGTTTTATGTTGAAATTTGTACTCTTTAAATCCTAATAACCGACCATCTTTGAGTGTTATAGTTTCTCCTTCAGATTTCGGAAAATTTGAAATTTTTAAATGAGGATATTCCGGTAATTTTGTTGTAGATTGTTTAGAATTAAATACTCCCATTTTTAAGGAGGAATGTGGTCATGTCTCGAAACAAACTTAAATATATTTAGGATTGCCTACCGGGTAGAAACGGTGAAATAAATCTCCGTTTGGTCCAGATTGACATTTTGTTCGTGTAACGAGTCTCATAGATCAACCGTGTTAGTGATAAAAAGGTAATAAAAGGTAAATGTAGTTTTTTTTTTTTTTTTTTTTTTTTTTTTTTTTTTATATATATATTAATTTGAGTTGATTGTTCAGAAATTCTCTATAAATAAATCGCCATCTCAACTTTTTTCTTTGTTATAAAACATGACGACGCGTCAAGAGATCTTTCTTCCTTCTATACATGATGGTATTCAATTAGAAGCGAGATTATCTTATCGTAAAATCAAAGATGTACCAGAACAAGAAGTTAAAGCTGTTATCATATCACATCCTTATGGTCCATTAGGTTCGTTCTTGTTAATTAATATTTTTTTTCCTCATTTCTTTTATTAATGATTATTTTAAATGTTTGAACAGGCGGTAATAATAATAATAATGTAGTTATGACGGTTGAAGATTTCTTTTTTCATAAAGGATATTTGACAGTTGCGTTCAATTTTAGAGGAAGTGGAACGTCTAAAGGGAGAACAAGTTGGTCAGGGGAACCAGAATGTGATGATTTCAGAACGATATTAAAGTTTTTGGAAAATCCCGTTAAAATAAATGGCGTGGAAATTCCAAAGATATCCCATATCATAATCATTGTAAGTCAACAAATATATATTTATATTTGGGTATTTTTTCTTCAGATTTTTTTTTAAATGTTCTCTTTTCAATCGATATAGGGATATAGTTATGGATCTTTAATAGCTTCATCGTTAGCATCATCCCAAACGCAGTATACATTCACAATATCCTATATTTTAATATCTTTACCATTATCTGTAATGTGGTTTCTAACATTTTTTCATTCATCAGTTTATTCAGCACATTTAAAAAATTTACTTTCGTCCGTTTCTACAAAAGTATTATTTATATTTGGGGATAGTGATCAGTTTACAAGAGCGAGCAAATATAAACAATGGATCAAGGATAATAATGTATTGGAAAATGAAAGGTGGACCGTTGCGAAGTTGAAAAATGTGGATCATTTTTTTGTTTATCAACAGATGGAAGATGCTTTGATTGACGTTATTAAGAAATGGGTCGATGAAAATATTAAATAAATTTCAAGGTCGAAATTAAGAAGAATTAACTTGAGAAGTGTTAATTCGCGAATTGTAATATTTTTAATCTCTCATAGCATTGTAAATCTATTATTGTGGAATATCATAGTTTCTTTGTACTCAACATCGATTTAATAACTATAATACAGTATGTGGAAAAAGAACGGTGGTTGATAACACGATCCCATTTTTAGTAATAAAATTCTTGCAAAACATGATATGATTTAGATCATCATTTGGATTTGCAATATATTTACATAAAAAGATATACTTATAATATTTGTAAACAAAATAAAAATATTTTCATTTTATGAAAAACCTTTTTATATTATTACTTTTTATTATATTAATCTTTATATTTATCAATAATTAAAAGGTTTTCAAAAATCTAATTTTAATTAAATCTTAAATTCTTCTATATTTATATAATCAATTAATATATATTTTATATAAAAAGATTGCTAGTAAAATCAGATTCTTGAAACTTTTTAACAAAATTTCAATTTTTATTACATTTAGATTTTGATATTATTAGATTAAAATGCAATAAAATCTTAATTTTAATCAAAATTTTTAAAATCTAACTTTTTTAGCAATTTTTCTATATAATATATAAATACATTTTAATATTAAATTTATAAATTTATAAAAGTTTTTATTTTATAAATTTTTAATATTATATTATTAATAAATTATTAATTATTTTAAAATTTTTTATATAAAAAAGATACTGTATATATTAAAATTTATTTTATATAATAATTTTTATTATTATAAAAAAAATTAATAAAAAAATAATAATTTATTTTAAAAACTATTAAGAATACCTTTATTATATAATTAAAAATATACAATCAGAACTCAATATAGTGATCTATAATAAACTGATTTTGGTTCATAATGAACTTTATTCTTAAACCAAAATCACTTATAATAAAATTTATAGCAATTTTATTATAAATTTCACAATATTACATATACTGATCTGATTGTAAACCAGCTATAATTATATATTTGCAATAAACTGATAATGATTTTTTTCTTATTATACCAATGATTGTTATAAAAAAATGGATTTTTTTCTTAATTTAACAATTGATCATCATTATTATAAAATTTCACTTTAATATATCAAAATTATACTAATATAGTAAATATCAAATGTTAAATAAATTAATATAAATATAAATTGGAAGATTTTATTCTTCTATTGATTATATTTTACCATGTCTTCTGAAATAAAAATAATACATTATTTATAAGATAAAGCAAAAATTTTGTTTTAAAAAAATAAACTTTAATTTAATTATATAAATGAATTTATTAATTTCGATTAGATTTTTTTTGTTTCTAAATTTTACAAATAGGAAATAGTATAGTATACAATATGCAAATAATAAATAATAAACAAATAATAACTAGATTGTATTTATTGCAAAATTTTGATATAATGAACTTTTATTTTTTTATTATTTAAATTAATATATCAAGAAAAACTTGTTATTCTGAATCCTCATTATAATAAATCAAAATTATCAAACCAAAAAGTTCATTATATCGAGTTCTAACTATATAATTATATTTAAAAATAAGTATTTATAATTAGAAAATAGAAATTATTCAGTTTAAAGTGTAATTTTAATAATAATATACTATATTCCTCTAAAAATAAGCAACCTTTTTTTTATTATAAGGTTGTTTATTTTCAGGTATTTTTAGATATTTTATAATAATTAATATATATGGTTTATAAAATTCATTTTCGAAAAATTTCAAATTTGATCTTATGACTGTTGGTCACCTGTTTATCACGTTTGATCAGCTATTGTCACGTAAAAATGTGAATAGAACTGCATTAAATATTCTATTCCAATTCATTTATATGCTTGTAAAAAGAAAAAAATGCTGCAACTTATAAGAAAAAGGATTTTTAAGCGCACTTCATATTCTATTAAACAAAAAATACAGGTAGTTACCTACATGAAAAAATACGGACAAATTAAGGCTACAGAATACTTAATGCTTGTATACAATTCTTTTAGAGGCCATTTAGAAGAATCAATTAAAAGAAAATTTTTATGAGTATGACTTTGATCTTATAGTAATCTCATGTAAGTTGACTAATATTTACTAATCATTTAACGTTGTGATAAATAAACTATTTAAAAATTATCTCCATATGAAATGGCATACTTGAATGACTCATGTAGTGCAGGAGAAATAGCTGTAGGAAACCTTCATTATACTAAGTTTAATGATGTGTGTTTATAGGTTAAAAATTTTTAGGAAAGAATTTCTGACGAAATTATTATAGGATCTTTTAAGATATGTGAACTATCAATTGACTTAAATGAACCAGATTCTGATTTAGAGATTATTAATAAAGATGACATTGATACCAATGATGATGATAAAAATAGTAATAATAATGATAATAGCGATTGTGATGATGATGATGCAAGTAATATTGATAATGACAATGATAATGTTAGCAATTGTGTTTAATATAATAAAATAAAATTTAAGAATCTATTATAAATATATTTTTAATTGTTTTTAAATAACAATTATAAAGTTATATTGATTTAAAGTATCATGTTACTTATTTTCAGATATAATACTATTTTCAGGATTGCTTATTTTCAGAGAAATACGGTAAATTAATTTTAATAATATACAGAAGATCACCAAAAGTCTCCGAACACTTTTTGGGATAACATAAAACTCAAAATTTAAAGTTAAAACTGAGAAAAATTAATATTATTTTTATTTAAATAAGATCTGATCTACATTTTGTACTAAGTAACTAGTACTTAGTCAGGCCTCCTTTTGCTTCAATTACCGCCCGAATTCGCTGCAGCATACTATCGACCAAATTTTCGATAGTATGTATAGGAACATCTCGCCATGCTTTCTTGACATATCGATCAAGTTCA